GAACTCACCCGCTCGCAACCACGTGACCACATGCTTGCGCAGCGCAACATGGCGAAAGGAGGGAAGTCTCGTCCGGGTCTGGCCCACTAATCTCTCTTGTACTAGGCTGGTTCACGGATCAAGAGCCCGTTGGTGTCGCCACCGGCGGCCATTGCTTGACACCAGGCAATACACTCAAGTCTATGGGAGAAATGCACAAAAGTAAGAATATTGAAGCATGTAGGCTGTGCTCGGAGGCGGGAATTTTATGGTGTGCCGCAATCCTTATGTCGTGTGTTCGGAGATTGAATCGGTAGATTAAAACAACCAAACGTACAGAAGCACCTATGGCTGAACTGGCAAGCTAGTTCTCGTAGTGGAGTAAACTGCGAGGCACCTCTTCGCTGGTTGTCTTGGTCACGACTCGCACGCAAGCAATCTCGCTTAAACATTTTATATCTCTCACGTACTCGCGCTGCGGTATCGGCAATAGAGTGTACTAGAAAGACGGAGTGCGACCACCGGAGTGCTATTTTGGTACCTGCGCATGTGGAAAAGACGGCTAATCCAAGCCACTTTGCTCGTAGCGCCCCCGCGGGCACTACAAGCGAAGTGGTTCGGAATAACCGCTTTTTATGAAAAATGCGTTTCATTCGAACGCCAAGCTCGACCAGCACACTGGTCATGGTCATAGAAACGATAAAACGCCGGACTATCTTTTTTATAAAACCTAGACGTCGGGCGTCACATACATAAAGTCACTGCGACGTCACAACGCCATGCGACATCAGGACGCCTTGATGTCAATATCGTCGTTGACGTTGACAACATGCGTTACACGACATCAAGACTGCGTTCTGACGTCATATTGCGTTGACAACGACGACGATGTCATCGTTGACGTTGATGACGACGACAACGTCACGGGACGTCCAGATGATGGCATCTTTGTCAATGCAATGTCATAAGGACACTTGGTGTCAGTTCGTTGACGTCGTTGTCGACATGACGCATGAAGATGTCCCGACAGCTTCACGACGTCATCGTTGACGTTACACGGCGTCAAGGCTTCGTTGTGACGTTGACGTTCACGATGACGCCAGGACGACGTTAACGTGACGTCATAGCGATGTTTGGCGTTGTGTGGGGCGTTGACGTCAACGTCGGCATTGACGGCCACGTCCACGTCGTCCTCGATGTAACACGCAACGTCATGACCGCGTTAAAACGGCGACTTGATGTCACGTAACGGCGTCGCCCTCAACGCGGCGCGATGTCACGATCGCGTCACAACGGCGACGATGTCGTGTAACAGCATCGTCCTCAAGGCAACGTCACGACTGCGTTAAAACGGCGACTTGATGTCGATGGCCTTACGACAGCATCTTGGCGCCACGTAACGTCGTCGACGATGGCGTCGTCGTGTCATGGTGCTTTGACGTCACCTCTGGCGTCAAAATCCTAAAAATTACAATATAGCCCCCAGGGGGCTATATTGCCCATATGACCTTGACCTTTGTCGTTGCTTGATCGGAGCGAAGGTGGCGCTGCGATCAAAGTGGCCTGGTTCCACCTGATCGCTTTCCAGATTTTGAGGTCCAGCTGAAAGCATGAGCAGAGCCTATAGCTCGTCCCACTCTTAACTTCTAGTACACTCTACCGGCGGTATCGCCGGTGGAGCTAAGCCTCGCCGTTCTCTCACGGCTTTCATCTTCCTCGTAGCTCGTGGTGTCGGGCTCGGTGCGAAACGTCTACAGCAGTTGCCCATGCAATTTGAGAGGTGCGGCCAATGTTACGTGCATGCATCATATGTGCGCTTTTCCTAACAGTCCCCCCCCCCTTATTCTGTGCATGTACAGTTCCGAGAGAGATAGCTAGGTTCAACATTGTACATGTTCCTTTTAAAAGTACACGGAAGTGACGTCTTACGTCTGATTGGTTGGAAGCAAGAGTGATGTAATTCCCCTAGAAAGATGTGGGCGGAGTCAGCTACTGGACGTGACAACATATTGATGTTTCATTTTGTACTTCGTACGTTTGGAAAGGTACTAGCTCCTAAATAGGTGTCTTTCATTGGTCATATTCTCCAAACCGCGTCGTCGTCAGGTGATTATGCCACTTTACGACTAATTTAGTTACTGTTTTCGCCTGCGCTTGCGATATGGCGACGCTGGTTCATGATGTAGCTGAGCAATTAGACCGGTACAGTACAACTACTAGCCTAGGGTCTTTAACATGCATCATGCTAGTGATTTTGTGAGCACATGCCGATTTAAAAGTAGTCCGATTTGTGAAACTTGAAGCCCCAATATACAGAACTCCATTCAGTCATTTTTACAAATGGACACTGGTCTTCAACCTCCACTACTCTCGCACTGGGGTTTTCAAACTTTTTCATCTTGAGGAACCCCTAGTCCACTGACAGTTGACCAACCCCTCTTGGTTTTGGCATTGATACGGACAAGTTCAGAGGCCTATAACCTAGGTAGTTTGGCACAGAGTTATGGAAAAATATTTTTGTAGCCCCGTTTCTTTTCTTTCCTTTTCTTTCAAAAGAATGTTTTAGTGATTGGGTTTTGTATTTAAGACGATAGTACAAAGAGTAGGTCAAAGCGCGTTTTTTTTAAAAATTGTCTAGTGGGAGCACATAAAGTGCTTGCAAGCTGTCCTGATTGAGAGGCATTGAGAGGAAAAACTTAAGATGAAAAATCTGAATGGGAAGAGCGGTCACTCCGTGGCCACTACAGCCGGAGCAGCCGACGTGCAAAGCAACCATCTCGAGCGTACGATTTTGGGGGAACCCTCGAGCTTGCTTACCCTCGAGTTCCTACGAACCCAGTTTGAGAGCCCGTACATACAAATATGCCTCTTAAGGAGGCTTCTCCTTACACATGCCGTGCACTGCGGGGGAGTGACAGTCACAACAAAGTTGCTGCAAGTCAACGCAGTGGAGCAAGCGCAGAACAGATCCGTAAGTATGGGAAATTCTGAAGTTTGTAACAGAGTATTCGAAGGCAGTTATTCGCACCGATAATGAATTTAGAATATTAGCTCATCTAGTTTTAATGTTCTAGTCAAATGCGTGTGCACTGGCATCCTTGAATGTAATTCCTTGTTTGTAAACAGTGCTTGACTGGCATTTCGTTTCACACTTTTTAGGGGCGAAGCTCCTTAGGGTCTAGCCTTGCCTGGCGTCCGTGCTCACATCGATTGCCATCCCACCTGTCTTCTTAAAAAAAGAAAAAATGTTTGCGCAGTCGACAGGATTCGAACCTGTGCGGGGAGACCCCAATGGATTTCTAGTCCATCGCCTTAACCACTTGGCCACGACTGTGGGACGAGTAGGGGGCTCTGAGAAGAGCTGGGGACGTCATGGATGAAACGTTGCATGTAGCCGCTCAACGTCTATACAGGAGAGGGCGCTGCAGTCAAATCGCGTTAAACTTAGCATGCATTGGCTTAACGTTTATAGACGAGAGGGCGCTGCGGTCAAATGCGTATATAACCATGTTCCATACCACATTCTCTTTCTGACATGGACCGTTGACTTAAGCGGTGGAGATGCGTTCCCACGGCTTCTAGCGGATCCAAGCTGATCTGCTAGAACCACTGGCTCTGCATTTCACCGACCATAAAGCAGTAATAATGAAGTCGAAACGGCAACCCGGAACTCAGCACTACCTGAGCAATAAAAAAAAATCGGCACCATCAGCACTACCTATGAACAATAAAATCAGTATCATCAGCACCACCAGAGCTTCGCCCCAATCAACATCATTCACCATGTGGAAATGTGGTCTTTTTTTTTTTTACTTTTGGGGGTTCCAGGATCAAGGAGATGCTGGGGCGTTGTTACTATGCTGACCAAGGTTCCTTCCAATTCTCGAAACTATTTTTCTATGCTTCCTGCTCTCTCTTCTGCAAACGAAGTGTTGCGTAGTCGGGGACTTGAACCAGGTGGCCTGCCAGGGACGGAGTCGGAGCATCTTCTGCTGCCGGTGCTTAGGTAGGGATTTCTCGAGCCATCGTTTGCTGGCATCCAATGCCCGCCGCTAACCGTCTCTCGCCTTAGCGTACACAGTGCACCCAGCCGGCAAAGCTGAGTCACAGTCCGTTGCAGCACGAGCCTGGCGGTGGTTGACTTGAAATAGTAGGATGCATCACGCAGTGAATTTCAACACAGAGCAGTGGGTCACATTCACGTCGGCTGATGACGTACCCTTGAGCCGTGCAATATAACAGGCTGGCTGCGCCCGTTATATTGCACAGCTCAAGGGTATGTCATCAGCCAACAAGAATGTGACCCACTGCTCTGGTGATCTGAAACCCAGGAAGGAGGCCAGACGTGGCCTCCTGTGCTGTCGGCTGATCTCGAGCGCGTCCCGTGACCTGCGTCTTGAGCGCGCTATTTTTCGGAGAGCTCGTACCTGTGCCAGCAATATCAGGTCGCAACCCACGATGTCTATGCTTCGATGGTGCTAGGCGAAACTTGAGGGCTGCAATCCATGCATCGGTGGCGGAGGGTCGCCAGGAAGGACCTTCACTACAGGGATGCCACCGCAGGCACGTAGCCAGGGGGGGGGGGGGGGGGGGGGGGGGGGGCATGGCCCCCCCCCCTTGAAATCTTTTATTTTGCTGGGGCCTCCTCTCCCCGCTCCCCCTCATACAGCATTTTGTCATGGGCAGGCCCCCCATGACAAAATCGAGCCAAAAATAGGGGGCGGGCTATCTTTCGGGGGTGGGGCATCTCTCGGGATTTCACGGTAGTTGCACCTTAGTCCTATACTATTTTACTGCTCGAGTGTAAAAAGTTTTGCGACTACTCAGTCCACTGTAGAACGAGGAGATATTTATTTTCTTCCTCGTTTAAAAACGGAAAAAAGCATTTTACATACGGGGCACAAGATGGCAGCACTAATCGAGACAAAAGCTGGAAAGAGGAAAACTGCGCTAACACTCGCATGTACAACTGCAGGCACCATGGCTGACATCATGGCTGACATCATACCTATACAATGCACAACACCAGAGTTTTATAAAATCGAGCGTTTATTACGTAAAATCTTCCCAATCTCCCAAAGTAAAGTATGCCACCAAATAACGAAGCGAGTGCGCAGCAGCTCCCTTTGAAACAAATGTCCACCCAGAGGATGTGTCACGTGACGACGTCCGTTCTCTGCCGCAGCAGGCCTCGCCACACTTCAAAGTGGTGGTTGAGTCCTGGCTGCACATGCAACTTGCGACACGTGCCCAGGGCACCCCACGGTGTTGCTTGGCCGTAGAACACTCGCCGAACCCTAGAGTGTACCAGTGCCATTCCACACCTGCAAATCGGGTGAAGGGGTCCTCATCTCGGCAACTTCTGGAGTTCTGCTCTACCGCTACGGCGCCTAGAACGTATCTCGGACTGGCACGTTTATTGCATCCTCATTCCTGACCCCTCCATTTCCTCCTATTGACGTTGCACTTCTGCCGCATTGCCTGCCCCCATCTTGGCGGTGGCGCCATGGAGTTAAGATAATCTAGAGGAAAAGGTCCCGCCCATTTTGGCTGCTTCGAAACGGAGGGACATGAAGCAGACTTTGGTGGTATGGCTGGCGACACTCTGATATACACGAGGAAGCAGAAAAACATAAGGTTTGTAGACAGCATGACCCTGGGACTCCCGCGACATAATTTGTTGCCACTTTGGGACCATAATTCTCCCGCCATCGGTATGCTAAACGCACCAGTCAGAGGCACGTTCCAGGCACCATAATATTGCCGAGATCCTTTTTCCGAGAGCTAATGTAGTTTATATCTGGAACTCTGGGGCCTCAATTCTATGCAGAGTTGCGATCTATTCGAGTGCTCGGTAGAGTTTAATTTACTGATTTTCCGTTTTTCTTGCCGCTATTTAGCGAAACTCTCGAGCTACCCTCGTGAAACAGAGATCCTCGAAACCATTTATAATGACGATGATATTGCACCGAGCTATTCTTTCCTCATGGATGGGGGTATATTTGGAGTAGATTCTCAAGCATTTATTTGTGTTTTATGCACCCCGAGTAATGGACAACAGTCACAGGCATGCAAACAACAAATTGAGAAAAGATTTTTCAAATGTCCGTCGAAGAAAGCGTGCATCGGGATTTCTAGATTTCACGAACGGAAACTATCATTCTACCCGGTTGCTTTCCTGGATTTTTCGGGTCATCAATTTATTTACGGACGATACCAGTTTCAATCTGCTCATAGACCTTACTGCTATTTATGCTTAATAATGCTTAAGATGTTTTTTTTAAAATGAAAATTATTTGAAACAAAAAAAAAACAACTTGTAAATAAATTACTCACGCAGGACGACGTTATTGCCCGTGACGGAAGTCGGCACACAAGTACGAAGAAACAACTAGTGGCTTAACTTACTTAAATTCGCAAACTTTTCAGCTATTATTTTTTTTTTTTGCTGGCATATTGTTATTGGAGATTTCCTGCTTGTCCTTTGTGAGCTGTTATATTTTAGAAAAAAACTTTCAGCCTTTCCACTCTGGTGAAGGAAGAGCTGTGGAGCTGTACTATGGTGGGACAACCTCAAGGACGACGTCTAAGACGACCTCAAGGATGACCTAGAGGACGACCTCGAGGACAACGTCTAGGACGACCTCAAGACGACTTCTAGGACGACCTCAAGGACGACTAAGAGGACGACTTCTAGGACGACCTCAAAGACGACTTCTAAGACGACCTTGAAGACAACACCTAAAGAAATTTAGCCTTTCCACTCTGGTGAAAACCAGAGTGGAAAGGCTGGAAAGGTTGCCGCCGTCGCTCATAGATGGCGGTAGCTGTTCAGAAGTTTTGTGTCAAGATTTGTTTGTCCACGGACACAAAGCTGGGGAAACGAGCCCTTAACAGCTCCGCTGTAAAAAATGATTCTTTGAGTTGTGATGTGGTGAGCTTCGGTATCTGCGGCAGTGCACGAACGACACTCAGCCAGCAAACAGTGCAAAATGCCCAAAAAAACTGCCCCCAAAAAAGGCGGTGTTTGGCCACGCATTGGTCTGACTTTTGGTGTTTTATACTCTTTGCCATCTTAGTCTCGTTTCCACACTGCTGCAGCTACTGAAATTCGCCACATCATAACTCTAAGAATATTTTTTTTTTTCCTGGAGTTTAGTGACTCATTTGGCCTATATTTAGGCCAAATGGCTGCAAATCTCCAATTGATGAAGTGCAAATCTTGAATTGAGATATGTCAGCTAAAAAAAAAAATAGCTAAAAAGTTTGTCAGCAAATTTGAGTTAATTAGGCCATAATTGATTCTTTATACTCGTGCCCCGACATTCACCACAATCATCTATGTTATCTTCCAGGAATAATTTCTTTATTTATAGTGTCCCTTTTGTTTTGAATATTTTTTGTCTTAGGAAACACACCGTGTATATACTAGGCCGGGAACGAACTCGTGGCATGACTGGACAACATCTGAACTACAGTAGTACTAAACAAGATAGCCAGTTTCTTCAATAAATAGCCAATAATAGATGAGAGATGAAAGGATCACTATAGGGCACAGTTGAAATGGGCAGACTGACATTTAGTAGTGTGCAATCCTAAAAGTCTGAAAAGACCGCTCCGCTTGGACCCTCAAAAATTCATGCGGGTAATCTAAAGTCTTGTCTTTTGAGGGCTGTTCATTCTTACTCAAAATGCACGCATACCCTAAGCTGCCACAGACTACGCCATGAACGTTGTTCTCTGACCGACCTTACAAGATCCTAATAATCTCATTTGCACATTCCCCTTGAAAGTTTAAAACGGAGTAGTTGCCATTGCTGTGGAAGCACCGATCACATCGCAGCAATGATCCAGACCCAGGCAATGCGATATCTAGGAGAGCCGTGGCACCTTTCATGAGGGGAGGTTTCCAATAGATTTTTTTACTTCCTAATTTCTCCAGCCTTAAATTAATTTTCAACCATTTGTGAAGTTTGGATAGCAGTTTTTATGTCACCTATAAACCATCTATGCCAGTTTTTCGCTAGACTTGCCAACAGCTTTTTAACTCCTTGTTTGACTTTTCCAAGGGCCTCGTTTTCTAACCACTCAATTAAAAGTTTTGTATTGGTCAATTCAGCTTATAATTAGTCAGATACAGCATAAGACAGTGCGAGGGGGGAAAAGGGTGCAAATAAAAAAGCCGTTGTGGAAGGGAGGTCACTCCCCTCCACTTTAGCTTTCCACCCTTTTCCCCCTTGCACTGCCTTTCTTACGTTGTATCTGACTAGAGCTACTGCAATTAATAAAAGTACCGCCATTGAGAGCTCTCCACCTTGGGTAATGATTGCAGTCTTAAATAATATTGATAGCAATAATGACAATAATGATTATGGCAATAATAATAACGATAAAATAATAATAAATCTGTTTTTATCATAGTGTCCAGGAACTACTGAAAGCTCTGCAGCCTTGGTCAAGTAGCTGTCTTAAATAATGATGATGAATATGGTCAATAATAATCATCTTCACTGGCTCAAGAAAACCGTGGCAGCCTAGAAATGCAAGAGCCTGTGCCACGGAGGCCTGCAGTGCCTCATTTGGGAGGGTAGTTATGCGAACGTGCAAGTTTTACTCCAGAACTTTCCACTCACATTGTGCATGGTTCGTGGCTGATGTAGAAGTCGTAGCCAGTGCAGAGGTACGGCACCTTACTGCCCACTTCCAGGTCGCGCCGCGTGATGCTGCACATCTCGCCTGCCAAGGAGAGCCACAATGCCTCGAGCCCCAGTCCCAAGACGGCACCCGACAGACCAGACATCCCCAGGTTTTCTCTAGGGTTTTTTTGTATCAAAGCCAACCATTAACCTTGTCCGCAAAAAAAAGAAAAGAAAAAAAAAAAGGGGCAGCCATTTGCTTGTCGGTGAACGTAGTCTACCGACCAAACTCGATTCGACTGCAAGGGACTAGAGTAATGATATATGCTTCGCTTGCGGAGCATAGCATCGCAATGGTGCTCCCAGGGCGACCATGTTGGATCCAAGGCTGCACTATGGGGAGCCACCGTCGCTTCTGTGGGAGACCCCAGAGGTGCGGATGGTGTGGCTGTGAGGCGGCATGCGGAGCCGGGAAGATATAGTGCGGTGACACGCCGCGCGTGAGTTGACATTCCGTCATCTGTTGCCTGTTTCTCTCTGTGCGCTCGGTAGAATGTACTAGCCGACGAAAACGTTGTCCCTTCGCAAGCCGTAGCTGCTCGTTGTCGTCTGGTCAGAGATGTCCGGATGTGCCGGTCGCGTATCACTCCGCGAGCGCCACAGACACGAGCAAGGCAGTCAATCTCCGTGTTGTCTGTTGCCCGGACTTTGGAAACATGTTTGAAAATATTGCTCGCATTATAACACAATGCGATTATATTGTAACCAGTGGCTACACATAATGTTCAACGATCAAGGAACCTTGCAGTTCGTCCAATTTTAGTGTAGGATGGGAATTTCGCAAACGCAAAGCGTGAAACTTGATTCGCCCGAACATATGAAGCTGATAACTATATATGAGAGGTGACATAAAAATAGACTTATAGAGCAATGCATATAAATCTCGCGATACCCACGTATCCTTTCCAAATCTCGAATGTGAAAAGGATATTGTCAGAGTAACATAGTCTATCGCGTATGCTAACCGCAGCTTCATTCAGGAATTTTCGCAGCAACGTAGAGTTATCACATCAACACTTACCAAGCTCTTTATTAATTTCTTTATTTACACTCAACATTTGCATATGTAATGTTCCGCCTTAGAGGAATAAGTTGCCCTTAGCACTATGCTGCACTGCAGCAAAGCAAGATTCTCAAAATCGCAATGCCCCCCCAACGTGGTTGTCACTTCACTGCAGCACACCAATGCGAGATAAAAAGCGCACTCAACAAAACTCACTTTCCAGAACGGACCACGGAACTTCCAAGCAGTGTGTCGAACCGAAAAAAATACGGGTTCGGTTACGGTTCAGGTAAATTAATTTTGTTCCGGTTCAGTTCCGGTTCAATTAATTCGATCCGCGAATCGGTTCGGAATTTATAAATGACAAATTGCAACATCAAAATAAATTACAAATAAAACATCTGAAATCAGCACATACGAAACGGGATACATCGTAGTGTAAGGCTCAGGGATTTCTACCAGGAATGGTTTCTTTATGTGCACTCAAAGGTTACCTCACCGACGTTTACGCATTCGGACTTCATATAATTGGGTCCGACGCAGTAGCTGTAAAATCCGCGACCTCCTTACAAACCCACTTACAAGTAGAACTCGCTAACTATCCCGCCACCTCGGCGTGTAAGCAATTGAAGGAACAGTGAGGAGAAAATACAGCTTTCTTTATTTGAACTAGCTTTCGGTAACTCAAATTAGACCCTTAAAGAAGTTTTCATTAAACAAGATACGGAATATGAAAAACGCTTCACCGAACGCAATGCCAGAAGGACGTAATAGGATAAATATTAAAATAGAGGAGTTCGCTGTCTCACAAATATGTTAGCTTCTAAGTGCCTATACGAAACCGGATGCGTTATTATCAAACTCCACAGCCTTTTCTTTTCTCATTCCGATGGAAGCAAGCTTCAAGAACTCGCGCGTTCTAGAAACGTGTTATGAAATGAGCACACAGCAGCATTTAGGATTTACGAGATTGTAGGAAAATAAAATCTCGTGACGCAATTTTTTTTTTTTTTTGCTCAGCTTTTTAATTTTTTTTCTTCCGTGCAAGCCGCGAGCAGCGCAATACTGGTTCCGATGTCAAGATTCATGGATGCAGCGTTTGTCAAGATTCATGGATGCAGCATTTATTGACGCTTTGCAGCAGCTGTGCATGGAAGCCGCCATAACTGACCTTCAGTTTTTGTTTTTCTCTTATTTAGTTAATTCACTTCATCATTACCATAGCAGGCTAGGTTATTGCCATATTAGATTCAACTGTGTCCTTTTCTAAAGCATCGGCCTTCGTAGAGGATCGTCAACTACCGTTTCAGTTGCTCGGCATCTCGGTAAGACAAGAGATGGTCAGCAATGGCGGCTGTAATTTGGCGCGTGTGTAAAGCGTTTATATTCCTCAGACTGAGTGGAGAAGAAAAATATGTAAGCGAGGTGTGTGTCAGTTGACGGCACTTAAAAAACAAATGGCACTGATAGCACATTCATTGTCAACAGCGTGTGGCCGAACCGTTTTGACATGAGCCGGTAACCGTTATTTTTGTTCCGGTTCAGTTCCGGTTCGGGTTCATCGCGATAACAATATAACGGTTCGGGTTCGGGTTCAGTTCCGGAAAAAATACAGGTTCGGTTCGGGTTTTCGGTTCGGTTCCGGTTCGACACCCTGCTTCCAAGCACTATCAATGTTTGATACAGAGATATTAAGTGATAATCGAAAGTTCCAGAAATTCGCACGAACCTACCGTAACAATTCGGTCGTGTAGTGGGGCCTGGGCTATTACAATTTCAGTATTAATAACATAAAAGTAAATTTTGGCGCAATGTTGATGCCAATTCCTCACATTCGAAATGTAGCACGATCTCGTAGCAGGGTAAGCACTTTGGCACAGCAATCGCTTCACTCTAGGTTTCATACACAAAAACAAGTAGAAAAAAAGAAAGATAGAACTCTAGTATTTGAAAAGATTAGAAATATGTATAAGCACTTTTTTTTTTAAGTTTTCCATCTTACTGTCTAGATTGTATCCCCAAGTGTTGATCAGTATGCAAGGATACGCTCTTGTACGGTGACTGCTGGGAAAAAAATGATTTTTGTTACTAAAGCAACATTTCCTTTTAATACACATTTAATATTTTCCAGAAAAAAAACATTTAATGTCCGAAAGCTTTGTTCAAACACTAGGTTTACACATCCTCGTTCGAGTAAAAGAAAATGTGAGAGAAATGGTAGTTCATTCGAGAGCTGCGAGAAACCGAAGTTTCCTTGCCCTTCGGAGGACGGAGAAAAAAAGGTTTTCTGAAGAAGATTGTCACAGCACCCCTTGGCCTAACCTAGAAGACCGGGACCAGACAATGGCCCCGCCAAAACTGAGACATAGACCAGACTCACATCCGGGCGGGACCGGCCATGCGCCGCCACCTTGCTGCCGTGCCACCAGGTCGATGGCAACCATGGTGGCGTGTCTCAGAGGATGTTTCCCATCTCCCACGGCGACCGCCAACACCCTGTCGGTGCTGGGGTTAACCACCGCCACTCCAATGCCTGCCTTTGCAGCAACAAGAACGGGTGTGCCGTGTTAGTGTCCCTGAGACCGATATCGGGAAGCTGCGCTTTGCAATCTGGTGCTTTAAGCACTCAGTACACAGGACTCAACACTGGGAGAATTAGGCAATGCTTCCGAAACCGCAACTGGGACATCCATACTGTGCCATTGGTAGAGAAGAGAAGCGTTAATGTTTCTTGAGAAGGCAACACGGAAAAAGTAAAGATCGGTCGGGTTCTTACATCTGGTAGTCCATAAATTTTGAGTGTTTTTGAAGATAAATCCGAATCCGCAATACATGCCATATTTACTCGCATAATGAATGCACTCGCATAATGAATGCACCCCCCACAACAGGCATCAATATTTAGGCTTTTCCTTTTTCTTGCATAAAGCACGCACTTTTAATTTTTGGCTCCGCGTGTCTCAAAGCCTATTTTCTATTGCTGCCAAGCGGTCAGGCCAAGTCAGGCCAAGTCAAGTCAAGCCAAGCCAAGCCAAGCAAAGCCGCTCTCGTAATGGCTGCTATTGCGTGGTTACGGAAGTGATCAACCGTGAAACCGAGCGGCGCGCACACCTAGCAAAGCTGGGGTCGAGGAATTACCCGGCCCTGGACGTGCTTCGTCCATCGGATGCATTGATGTCAACAAACACGCCGTCATCTTGGACAGTGATATCGTGAAAGTGGTTAGGCCTAAGAATGGCCGCGTCGCTCTTCATGCTGAGTGAGCTTCGTAAGGCGCTTTTTCTTTGGCAAAAGGCACGCCAAAAGTGCTCTAGAAAAGGTTAATTTTAGAGCATGGTTACAGTGGCGCGCCCACGACAAGCCATGGGTGAGCATCCGTCAGTGGAGACATGCCACAGTACCCTGCCGTGTCATATTGACACCTAAAATGACAATCACGCAAAGTGTGTAAACGCAAAAATTTTACCCCGCGTAATGAACGCACCCCCCAAATATGTGCCAATGTTTCTGAAAAAAAATTTCTTCATTATGCGAATAAATACGGTACTTTTATCGCCGAAAATCACCAGAAATGCACAATCCTACGTGTAGATGACATGACACAAGAAACCAAGTGCTCTAGAAGATGGCAGGTGCCACCATCTATAGAAGAATCTCTCTCGCAGGCATACCCTAGACTCCTGGGCCGCTGTGACAGCCAGTGCCATGTAGTTCTCCATGGTGGCTCGCTCTTGATCGGAGAAGAGCTTCCCGCTCAGCACCCTGGCAATGCTGCATCAAGACAAGGCATTGCGGGTGACTCAAACTTCTTCCCGCACACACCTAAGGGTGTATTCGTGCAACAGATCTTCATCTCCGAGGAGGAAAGGCTGCGAGGAGAAGTTAGTTCTAGTTGGCGGCGGAGGCTTTTCATGACGGAGCCGCACTGAGTTGAGCCAGCAGTGTCTTTAGTTTCCTAAATATGTTTGCGACCTTCAGTGGCTCGTAGAACAAAACGTGGAAAGAAAAGAAAAATTGAAAGATGTGGTTGTGTTGTCTTCGTCTCCACTCGTTTATTCTTTCTTCAATCTCGACCCGCACCAACACACTCTTCGTCCATTAAAAAGAAAAAAAGGCACCCAATGGATCAATGCTGCTGATCGTAATCCTTCCCACAAGATGGGGCAAGCGTATGCTTCGATGAGATAGTGGACACTCTGTAGGCCGATCGCGAATCCTCTGCAGCTTAATTCTTTCCTCGAAGAAACACTCCGTCGGGACACCATAATCTACTCCTGCAACGTAATAATCATTAGCTTTTGTTCCCACTCCGCCTGCATGTCGTGTGCACCTGTGCAATCACAATGCACATTAAAGGCCCAGGTTAGTGGTAATACTACAATGACCAGACTACTCCTCAACAGCATAAGGTGGCACTTCGAGGCAGATTCACTATAAATTTTAATCAAAAGTCAAAAGCCATTTCGGAAATTGTGAACTGGCTAACATTTTAGCTCAGAGATTTGCAAAGTGGGGGGTCATGACCCCTCGCGGGGTTATGAGACCATCTGTGGGGGTCGCGGGGGCCTCAAGAAGCCAAGTCACTGTTAAGTATAGTAGGAGGGGAGAGGTCGCCGGACGGCATTGGGGTATTCTAGGAGTCATGGGCCTGAAAAGTTTGCGCACCTCTGCTCTAGCTCATCGCATTCAACATGCATCTGCTGATTTTCTGAACTTTGTTAAGTGATAAAGACATTAGTAATGGGGCACAATCATAGAAGTACTACACAATAACTTTGGAAATTGTTTCTTTTTAAAAGAATGACATTGCTTCGAGCCTCGAACCAATTATGGGTTTTTTATGAAGGGAAGTGCAGACGTTGGACATGGACCACTTCACAAGGAGAAAGCCTTTTTTCCCTCGAGAATTTCTCACTTGCCCCTCCTCTCCTTAGTCTCTCCCTCTTTCATTCCAACGCTAGCGCCTTCTAGGCTGCCCTTCCGCCGAGCGCCGCAACAGGTAACTGCTCGCAGACCCTTGCTAGGTCGGTGTTTTCTGCGCGATTTTAAATCGCGGCTTTCGTGTTTTCGTTAGGATATACGAGTTGCCGGTATCCACGACGTCTTCGCTACTGGGAATATCTTTCCATCGCGAGTTTGGTCGAGGCTTTGGCTGTGCGTCTGCTCGGATCATTTCCAAAACAGCCGACAGCAAATATCATCACTTCTTGTGCCTTTTTGTTTCTGTCTTTACACACCGAAGTGACAATGAGATGAAACAAAAACGTAATGAGTGTTTTGTAAACACGTGCAAGTGATTTAGTGACGCCATGTCATAGCAGCAGCTCGACGACGTTTTTAAAAGCAAAACGCTCGACATACGCTCTACTGATAAAAAAAAGCTTCCACGGGAGGCCAGCAACGTAGTATTTATATATATGTACGCCACTGGAGGATGCGAGGCCGCGACACAGTAGGGCACAAACGGCGGACGGAAATGGCGAACCAAAATAGGCAGGACGCTCAGTCAATCAGTGGTAGTGGAAAGGGGAACTTGAAAGAAAAGGAGGAGGATTTTTCTAGAAGGTCAGAGTGTGTCCGAGGATCAATCAATGGCACTACTTTCAGTATAGGGGCAATGCAACAACTTACAAGAAACATTCGACGGTAGCGGCAGCTCTACATTTCGTGGTGGAGTGCCATTCACTGAATGCTGCTTTAGCTGGAATTCTGCACATTCTTGGTATATTCAGACATCTTTCTATGCATGTATGCAAGTTGGTGCCTTGCTCCCTCCCATATTAATCTCACCCTTTAAAAGTACACACGTCACGAGCAAAATCACCATTACTTTCATTGACACGAAGAAGCATGCTCCAGTTAAGACTGTAAATGAGACACAAAACATAGCAGACAAGGAGGAAGCAGCATCCCTACTGTTTGTCTTCGTGGAACTGTGTGGGCCAGAGGCAGTTGGACTGCTCAAACTGGGCTCTGGTCAGGGGCGGGTGCCTGGGCACCTGCACAACTCTCACTTCCGCAGACAGGCCCTGGGCATCGAATGTCTCTCCCAGGACACCCTTTAACGTCTGGGTTCCGGTCAGGTCATCACCTTTTACAGCGTGCAAGATTATGTCCATGCCTGCAAGGAGTTTTAAATACCATCGACTGTATATGTACACCAAATTACGATACCCGCGGCAAGTGACGGAGAGTAAATATTAGGAGCGCTAATTACACGGGGATGGTCTACAGTGTTGCCGGAAATGAAAACCTGATTGGACAATGAAAATAAATATTTTTTTTAATAATTCGCTCGTTTATCGGCCTGCCTCATGTACCCTTTATGGTGGATCCCAGCTGCTCAAACTGTCCCAACATAATTCCAGTCCTTCACATCTGTCATGATAATCTGGCATTCCAAAAACAAGAAAAAAAGAAGTAGGAATACTGCCCCCTGCCCCAGGTGAAAATGTCCATCAAAATCTCATATCTATTCGTCAACGGCAGATGTATGAAAGCTACGGTGCTCTTCGCTGTACAGTTCTTTCTTTCTCTATTCGTTTCAGTTTCAATGGTGTCAAGAAATTACCACTCTGTACGAGGCGCATACTTGAGTAAATCCCTCGATAATATTTGCCACATTTGATTGTCATGAGCTGCAAGGGACACGCCGAAGCCGAGCTTACAAGTCTCTTCACGCTGACATCGAACCTTAAACGCTCAAACTACGCATCAGTGCCTGGTCTCAAATTCTTCCTTCATCAGCCATCAAAAGGCAGACATTAGCATGTACAGGTGGTAATAATAGTTATCGAAGTTCCAAGTTCAAAAAGGGTCTACTGGGGTTCAACTGGAATGACCAGCTGAAGGCCCAACTGGTCATAGTCATTCCCAACCGGGAGTCAACTGGGTGCATGCAGACATGGGGCCAAGTGGTCAGATAGATTCCTGGTAAAAGTATGAGTGGCCTTAGCCAGAGGAGGCTATGGCTTAGCAATTTCAACTGGCTCAATCAATCATAGAGTATGATTCATGTCAATCAAGGCTCCTGACCCTCGCCTGTGCAGCGCACCCTCTTCAGATGCTGCTGGTCTCCCAGAGGCAAGGCATCTGAAAGAGATCTATGAAAATTACTTTCAGGAATTAAGTTGTGAACAATAGTATGATCAAAACGCAACAGTTACATACTTGACCAGTTTGGAAGTCTGCCTTCGATCTTCAATTTTCGCAATGTACACAGCAACTGGGGAAGAAAAAAATAAAAAGTTAGTCAGTTTGCTGGCGGCCCAAGCCCCAATAAGGCTAATGACATCAATCTTAGAGTATTGATTATACTCCGTTCACCCTTAAAAAAATATCGCAGCTCCCCAGGCCCCATGTATTTCCAATAGCAACTTTTTGATCCGACCGCTCAGCAACCACCAGACGGATAGACTTGGGATGGTTTTATTAAAAGGAGGATAAAAAAACAATTTGAAATGTGGTCGCACATTTACCGGTTTTGGGGCTAGCGATTTTCTACGGGAGCTTGGATTGCTTCAAACTGTCCTTTTTTTTCAACCTGCCATACATGAGCAGTTCTGAAAGAAACAGAAGCACTAATCGACTTTCTGACAAGGCGTTGCGGAAGGTAATTTCTTTCTTAACATATCTTCAACAAGATCTTCTTTCCATGTATTTCAATAAGGAAATAGGACAATCAAGTTTGCATTTCGGTGGAAGCCTGAAAATTGCCTTTCCCGATAGATTTTTGCTATCTATCCCGTGCCATCTACCTCTGAGCAACCTTTCATAGTTTTTTTCACAATGGCGGTCATCTTGTGTTAGAGCGCAGCAACGGACTACTTGCATGACCCCGTTTCTTTCAACCGTGTTCAAGGTTTCGGGGAGTGCGCACTGCGAATTATATTTCCTTTTGTGTTTGTGTTTTTAATTAGGGACGTGGGCAGAGCTGTGAGTAAATCACGCAGCCGCCGTTTCTGCAAGCGCCGTGTGGAGGAATGCAAACTTGGCGATTTTTTTCGTCTTTTGGTTTACCCATATCCTTTTTTTGTGTGTGTGCGTGTAATGCTGCGCATTGTTTGCTCAAGTCAGCGGTGTAGCCAGGTATTTTTTTGAGGGGGGTTGATGTGGGTGGAGTGTTCATGACTTGGGTGCCGGGGAGGGCGGAGGGGTGTTGTAGTCCCATAAACTGATCTCTTTGTAGTAGATTTGATCGCAGATAGAGGCTTGTCTTGCTGGGGTTGAGTGGCACCACCGGCAGCCATCGCTTGACGCCAGCTAATGAATGGGACTCTACGGGAGAAACGGGGGAAACTGCAATTTCTCATCTTAGTAGATTGGTCTTGACGATGAAACTATTATCGTGTTTTCTGGGAATGTCAGTTAATGTTCTAGGCACAAATATTAAACGCGGTAGAATACAGATTTTTTTAAAATAAATATTTCGCCTTTGTGCGTCGAGGGATGCGACTTTGTTGGGCGTAAACTGTGATGCGGTTCAATGAGACAAGGGTTTCCAGGTCGTGTGAGTCATCGATAGTTTCTCGATATTCGACTAGAAACATTTTTACGAAGGTCGACTATTGATAGCATATGCTATTGAGTTTCACGATAGTCGACTATCGATAGTTTTATGATAGTCTACTATCAATAGCACTATCTATATAGCTTTTTCACTATCAATCGATAAATTTGGCTTCCATTATCGGTAGTATTATCCTTGCATCACTACATGCGAGTCGTCGTCATTTGTTGGTGACATATCTGTGCTCTTCAACGTACATCGTTCCGCGAAAACCTAGCTTGGTGCGTAATGAAAGAAAAATAAATACAGGGCAGCAAGTTGTTGGTTGACGCGAATTTGTAGAAACCACAGGGGCAATCATCTATGAATGCGATAGCATTTATCTTTGCACACCGCCAAATTTTGAGGGAGTAACTGCATTAGTGCATAGGTTGTGACAAATTTTTCTGCTAAATTTAGCGGAGAAACCCCCCTAAAATATAGCGTCGTCGGACGACGCTAAATTCTTGTCGTCCTTAATACCACCCTGGAGGTCGTCCTCGAGGTCGTTCCTGGGACGACGTCAAAAACAACATCAGGAATTACATTTAAGGCGAGCTCAAGAACGTCCTCCAGGATGACATCAAGCACGGCGTCAAGGCCGTCAGGTTCTTTGAAGAGGGTGCTAATGTGAAGGGGTGCGTACTGCCGCTTTGCATACGTACAGCACAATGGAGAGCAAGCACTGAGCTGAAATGGACTACTGCGCGTACCTACTGCGCATTAGGCAGCCAGATACCAGATAGACAGAAATTTGTGATGAGTAGCTTTACACACCACCAAATTTAGCGACCAAACTGCATTAGCGCATGGGTCGTGACGTCAATTTTTCTGCTAAATTTAGCAGAGAACTCCCCGCTAAATTTAGCATCGTCCTTTAGGACGACGCTAAATCCTTGTCCTTGATATCACCCTAGAAGTCGCCCTTGAGGTCGTCCTAGATGTCATTCTTAGGAAGACGAAACAGGTGACATCTAGACTCACCTCCAAGACGACATTCAGGGCGACCTCAAGGACAAACTTTAGGATGACGTCCTAGAGGACGTTCTAGGGGACGACACCGAAGACGACGTCAAGGTCGTCAGGTCCTTCGAAGAGGATGCGAATGTGAAGGAGTGCGTACCGCCGCTCCACATACGCGCAGTCCGATGGGGAGCAGACACCAGGCTGAAATGGTTTATTGTGCATACCTACTGCACATGAGGAGGCCAGATACCAGATAGACAGAAATCTGTGATTAGTAGCTTAATAATGCCATCGCATTAAAAAGTAAGGATACCGTAATATCCTGAGAGATAGTGCACCCAAAATCTATAGGAAAGTGGATGAAAATAAGGTGTAGGCTACCTTTCGGCGTCCCATAAAAACAAAAGTAAAAAAATGCTTCTTTTAGATTTTGTGACTCTTGAAACTTGTGATCGCAGGAAGGGGCGATGAACCAAAAACGACTGTCCTTCCCAGTAAGCAATGTTTGATTATCTCCCGCCGTGGTTAAGGAACACTGCTATTGCCGAGGTCACCATTGGTCAGGGCCCTGCAGTTACTAAAAGTGGGCTATGTTTTGGTGTTTCAGAACAAATAGCAAATCATGCCAAAAATAGAGGTGGGGTGTCTTTCAAGGGTGGGACATCTCTCGGGGGGATATTACAGTACGCACTTAGCAGCTGAACGCCGCCTGCCCTATATAAAAAAGAAGAAAACTTTTCGTTGACCCTTAAGCCGACAGTGCTGCGGGAGTTACGCACTCGCCGGACCAATCAACCACCTCTCTTTCATCACCTGAGCCCGCTCCCTCCGCGTGTGTATGGACGGAAGCGTAATCACATGGCTAAAGATAGACATAGGACTGATCCGGCGAGCACGCAGCTTCCACCATACTGACTAATCCCTGTTGTTCAGGCTTGGGGTGCGAGAAGGACATAAAGAAGTGAGAAGAAAATTGGAGGGAGAAACGAAGGAAAGGAGAGAATTCTACTGCCAGAAATTTCTTTTTGTGCGTCGGGCAAGCTCCACCTTCAGCGCGAGCTTTCTGCTTTTGCTAACACAAGTGTGAACGCGCAGGCATGTGCAACCAAAGCATTGCGGAAGCCAGTGAGCTTGCGCTGAAGGCGGAGCTCACGAGAGCGCGAGCTCTCCACCCCCCGCTTCAAAGTCGGCCAGCGTGAAGCGCAATGCGCATTGCGCTCGCGACGTCAAAAAGTTCTTGCACGGTCAAGGGTACTGTAGTTGGAAGCCCTGCCACTTGGTGGTGTCAACGCGTGACAATCTCGCCTAGCAGTAATATCCGAGGACTGTGCGCCCTACGGCCTATAGACGCTTTAAACAAATGCCAGATTGAGCCGCCATAGTCAACCTTCTTTTGTTTTACCGAGAAACCAAAAGTCCACAGAGGCCTATGCTGGGGAGAAGAACGCAGTAGAACCTAAAGTGGCAATAACCTGTCCTGTTGTGGTAATGATGAAGTGAAGCAAACGGAATGAGAGGAAACAAAAACTGAAGGTTGGTTATTACGGCGCCCATGCAAAGCTGCCTGAAAGCGTCTATACATAGCTGACCCGTAACATCATTTGCGGCCATGCCAGTATTTTATGTGCCACGAGCATTCGCTTCACCATATTAGTTTCACACCGCAGAAGTAGGTCCTTGAGGGAACCAGTAAATAAAAATAACTGTCAGTACCCAGAAGTGGCGGTTAGCCTGACAGAGATCCCCGCACCCTCCATATCAAGCTCCTACCTAACGTCTGCAAAGAATGGCGATCTCGATGGTGTGGAATGCACGTTACAGAAGCACTGTAGAGCTGAGACCGCAGCCAATGTCACAACTACGAGAGCTCGAGGACGCTGCTTTGAAGCGTTGTTTCACAGAACGATCGAGCGCTCGCTCTAGAAATCAAAGCGGACTAGCTCGACCGCGCTTGTAGCTTTGGCTGAAGTCTCAGCTTATGAGCGTTCTCCGCCAAGTCACATTCAGGACTAAGTAACTCCACAAGAGAGCCATAGTGCTGCGAACTGGTCCTGCTTCTTACAAATTCATGACGTGACGGCATTCTAATAGAGCTTCACAGACCGCCACCAGACACAATTTTGAGATCAGTTAACTTGTTTTAAAATTATTTTTCTTAACTCTTCTGCCTGCAGCCGAAAAACGCTAATCTAGGCTAGTATTTCTGGGCGGCCAGCACAACATAGACCACATCTAAACAAAGAAATAAAAGCGCAAACATTTAAGGGTGAACGGAGTATGCGCAGCGCAAGTTCGTCTGCCTCTTGAGCAGGGTTGTGGTGACATCAGACAGATGCCGAGCTCTGATTGGAGGATAGTGGGTAGACCTCACAGCAAGCTGCCTTGAAGTTTACCCCCTATCCTTCAATCAGAGCCAATCGGAGCTCGGCGTTCTGACGTCACCACAACCCCTGCAAAAGAAGCAGACGAACTTGTGCCCCGCATAGGATCACTTGGGCCATACCTGTGTCAAGAGTCCGAAGATATTCATCTGCTAGAATGGGCTCTAACGTAGACCTCTGGAGCTCCATGCTAGAATCGGTGGCTTGCTTCTTTACGTCGTTGGTTGGCTCGACACCTTTTTTGACACAAGGAGAGAACTTGAGCACATTTGGCCAGTTCACGTCTTCACCGCAAACCTTCGGAAAAGGCTATCTTACCCAAAAGTTCTGCCGTGGCTTTTCTCTTTTTCTCC